TTAAAGTTCCACCTAATACCCATCCGAGGCGCGTCTTCTGCAAAACTAAATCTCCCGAACCTAGCTTATGCTGCCCGATGCATAATAGCTTCCAAAAAAGTCCAGCGCCGATCAAGAGATCAATTCGACCTGGAATTTGGTAATTAGGGTCTGCAAGAGTTACGCCGGCTGGTATATCAACGTGATATTTGTCTAAAGGGATGTTAGGCATTTTCTCAGTTATGTTCTTTATTACGAGGCAGGACATTGTTGATTGGAAGCTGTTACATTGCGACGCGATTGTTATATATGCCATAGATTGAATGGGGTTGGCTGATCTACCTAGACCACTAACCGTTGTGTCAAGTAGAGTACGTGGAAGATTTAGCTTATTACAAAGATCTTCGGTGATAAAATTAGCTTGTGAACCAACATCTAATAGGGCTCGGCATTTGTGCTTATTACCCCTTTTATCATGAATGTAAACTACTGCTGTTGATAAAACAGTGTATTCCGCAAGAGAACGTTTAACATTTGATACGCATGCTTGAACAGTCGATGGAGCTGATTCCTGATTGAGAATCACGGGGTCATTTTCTATGTTTACGTCTTCTTTATGAAGCAATGTATGGTGTTTTTTATTGCATTTTCTACACAAACCGCGGGTGCAATTTTTAACACTATGTCCCGATCGCAAACAATTGAAACAGACTTGCAAACGTTTAATTGTTTCATGCCGTTCGGGATGAGGCGTGGCCTTTAATTTTGTGCAATATTGAAGAGCATGTTCATCGTTGCATAATTGACAAGAAGATTTTATATTCGCGAGATATGCTGATGTTACAGGTCGTTGCCGATTATCCTTTGATTTATTCTGAGTTATTGTAGAAACACTTTCTGAATGCGACTTATCGGATTGTTTTCGTATCTGATATTGTGCACGCTGCTCTATGAATTTAGAAAAATCGCGAAATGTGAGTCTCTGAGGTGATTCCATTGAACGTTTCTCCCATTCGTCTAATGTCGCGGAGTCAATTCGTTTAGCTAGGTGAACACTAATTATGACGTCCCACGCTTTAGCTGGGGTCATGAGAGATTCTAGGGCGTTTACATGATTGGTGGCACTATCGATGAATCGACTAAGTGCCTCACCATTTTGTTTTTTCACTGGCGAAATTTCTAACAAAGAGTTGGCATGATAGTAAGCTAATGCCTTAGGATCCTCGTAACGTTCCTTCAGTCTGGACCAAGCAAGTTTATAATTATCCGCGGAGACACCCAATGACTCTATCATTCGTGCGGCGCTACCCTTTAGAGTGGATGTTAAGTAATTGGAACGATCGATATCTGTTAATTTGTCAGAATTGTGTACTAATGATATGAAAGTATCTCGGAAACGAATCCATTGACTGACATTACCATCGAACGTCGGCAAATTTATTACTGGAAGTCGCGGTGTAAATGATATATCGGAGGGAACTAGAGATCCACTCGCACTAGTTGCAACTGCGATCTGCTCTGGACCCTTTGAATTTCTAATATGTTTCTCCGCGATGGACATAGCACTGAAATATGCTGTTTCAAAATTTTCCCGTTCTTCGAATTGTAATTTTTCAGTTGCCTCGTCTAAATTTAATGACTCTATTTGTGATTGCACCTTANTGGCATCAAATGCATTTACGAACTTTCTAAGAAGAGTTAATTTGGTTTTGAACGCCTTGCGCTCGCTAACACACGCCTTAATTTGAGCATCCATCATACAATCTACGAAATTGAAGTAGGTAAGGACTTACGATTGAAGGAAGATATGACCAACGAATGATGATGACGTGTTGTCCGGATGCACTGCTTAGAATGAACACCTTCTCCTGTAGAATGCGTTGTACGATGCGTCCAGATGATGATTCGAACGAACTAGGGCACGTTTACAAGTGATGGTACGATGCGTTGCCGTCTGTTTCTATCACGTCCAGGGGGGTGGTGGCCTATGATATGCCACGCACTGTCTCCTTCCTGGATGTCCAAACGGTCGTCTAATCTTCTGCGCTGGA